AAAAAAATATATACATATATATATATATACATCTATACAAATATATATACATATATATACTCCTATGTATTAATATATATATACATATAAAATAAAAAATATACACATATATATATATACATCTATACAAATATATATACATATATATACTCCTATGTATTAATATATATATACATATAAAATAAAAAATATACACATATATATACATACATCTATACAAATATATATACATACATACAAATATATTTATATATACATAAATTTTTAATTTGATATACAAGTATATATTTATATATACATTAAAAAACTAAAAATACATATATGTACATACAAATATATTTACATATACATAAATATATGTATGTATATATATATTTGTATAGATGTATGTATATATATGTGTATATTTATACATAAGAGTATATATATTTATATTTGTATTTGTATAAGATATGAATATATATGCATATACATATATATGTATGTATATATATATATATTTTTTATTTTGTATGCATATATATATATATATATGTATTGCATATGTTTATATATAAATACATGTATACATGTATATGTATATATATATGTGTGTGTATATATAAATATATTTATATGTATGTATATGTATATATTATTTTTTTTCGATCTTTTTTACTTGTTTTTAGTTTTTTTTTTAAATCTGACGTGGCCTGCTGACGTGGTAAAATTTTCCACGTGGCCTACCACGTCAGCCGTCACGTGGCCTTCCACGTCATCAAGTAACGGATATTTTAACACTGTTTCGGATTGTATAGTAAATTATAGTAAAATTGGGTAATTCGTGTACAGATTTGGGACATTTGATAATATAGTGTACATTTTTGTCAAATTAAAAATTCGTATAGGAAAATGTCACATTTTACTAAATTGGTGTAGGAAAATGTCATTTTCCCTTATTATTATTATTATCGTGTAACCGGCTTGCAATGCGGGGTACAGAGGTTGGTAAAGGTGAATTTGAGATCCGAGATGCCTTGTTCGTGCACTGAGCTTGAAGAGTATTGATCGCTATGAAGCACGTGGAGGAGTTTTATCAGATTTTGAAATCGACTCGGCGGTCCTTGGATCTGGAACCCGTCTCTGTCCGTTCTTTGGGAGATTCGAGGTCGAGCACTCGTATGAGTTCGCGTCAAAGCGTTTCAGACTCTGAGTCGGATAAAAAATTTGATTTCTCGGTTTGCGATGAATCGAGATTGGACGGCAAGAGAGGAGGTGAAGATACAAATGCCATGGCGGATCTGAAGATGATTGCGGATTGCATGATCTTCTCTGGATATAGCAAAGAATGTTTGAAAATAACAACGAAATTGCGTTGCTAATTTTGCAACGCAATTTCGTTGTAAAGCGTTGCAATTTGCAACGAATTGAAACGTTATATTGGTTTGCAATGACATGTTAGCAATGAAAATTTTTTCGTTACAATTTCGTTGCAAACCCTATTTTGCAATGAAAATTTGTAGGTTTATAACGAAAAATTTCGACAAATTTTCGTTGCTAAAAGACTGTTAGTAAAACAAAATATAAAACGTCAAAGATTATAAAACAGAGAGAATAACTAATATAGAATGTACATTTTCATTGCATGATATTGTTAGAATAATCTATTTTTTTACATGGTTTCATAACATATATAACCATGTGTTCTCCCATAAAGTATACATGACAAGATGAATGTACATTTTCTCATTGCATGCGATTGGTAGAATAACCTTCTTTATATATATTCATAACATATATAGCCATACGTTTTCCCATAAATATATAAACATATTATATCTGAAATATGAGCGTCCATTATTTTCTCATTGCATGCTATTGTTAGAAAAAACAGCTCCTTAACATGGAAGTCGGTGAAGAAAATTTTTAAAAA